TCATATATAATATATATATAATATATAACATAATTAATAATAATAATATTAATAATAATAATAGTCATAATAATTCGTTGATAAATAATAGGTAAAATCGAGAATAGTGGGACACGTCAATTACTCTATATATTGAAGTGCACAATGTCTGGCGTGATATTACTGCTTAAAACTCCTGTTGAATATTAGCCTGTAATATGTACAATAATTGATGTGTACTCCACTGTCAAATAAATTATTTTATATGAGGCAAAATTCATCGAATAGAATGCTAATACAGATCATCAGTCTATAAGTAAAGTTATTTTCCAATCAATTATGTTCTAAGATTTTGGTCATTATTTCTTTTATGAAGATAATTTTGCAAAAATCTCTTGTTTCCTCTGCACATGAACGTCGACTATTACAAAAATTCCTAGGAGAATAGATAAGAAATATCGTACTGCATAATAAAAAGTAGTTATATTACTGTCAATTGACAAGGAATTTAAAAGCAATGAATACGCCAAGCAAATTCACCATATCGATAATGAAGACTCCGTTGTTTTCAATATCGACATGGTGAATTTGCTTGGCGTTTAAATTCCTTTTGCTTGCTTTTAAATTCCTTGTGAACTTGCGATTAAAGCAGACCAATGATATAAGTAGTGTCAATTGAACATTGTTACGTTAAATGATATTGTTACGTTACATTGTTACATTAAATGCAATATATTAAAAAACCCTCCCCCCCACCAGGCTCGACGCCCCCCTTGAGGGTGGCGATGACGTTGCTGGACTTGACGACGACTTCGTTGTTGTTGCTGGTGAGGCGCAGGCGATGAGTGGCAAACTCTGGCCTCATGGTGGGGCCTAGGCGGTATACGAGGCCCTCGAGGCCCCCCTGCCACTCCTGGGGAGCAGCGGGGCCATCTAAGGTNTGTTGTATGGATCCGAATCCCCACTTGTTAGAGGTAAGCGAAATTGAATAATTATCAGAAACCTAACCAAGTAATAAAGAAATAATTACTAATTCCTCTAGGACGATAAAATTTCACCCTAAATTATCGAGGGCTGCGCACCTGGCAGCCAGTGGGTGTAAGGGTAAACATCTTCAGGTTTTTGTCCTTCCCTCGCCACGTCGCTGGGGTCCGAAAAAAGGATCACGCCAATTGCGCCGTACTGAGCGGCATGCGTGATCTGCAGGCGGCAGTAAGGGTTATATCAGTCTCCCATGAAAAGAGAATCCTCGTCATAGAAAACGAAAATGGTGCTTCATAGAAAATTAATTGTTTTCATGGTATACTTGAATATTCGCATAATCCAAGAAAAATGAGTGTAAATCATGCATCAAGCCATCAACCACGCAAGAAGGCAACACAATTTGTTACCACACAAGTGCTTAACAAAGCCCGACCTTGTTGATATGGTTTGACGGGTGGCAACACTCACCTTGTTGCCACGGAAAAGTTTGCCGTAACGCACGATGGCAATACGGCCTTTTACGGTCACGTTTAGTTCAGCCAACCGAGCGAAGTCCTCAAGGCTGCCGTAGTTGACGTAAACGGCCGCCTCGCCCACGGCCGTCCACACGTCCCCTGCATGATGAGTGTTAAGTTACCGTCACTGAAGACTGGAGTCATCATGGCTACGGTCATCCTGGGCATTATGTGCGCGTGAGGTCGTTACCAGGGGGCATTACGGGCACGCTACAAGTGGGCATTACGGGCACACTACAAGTGGGCATTACAGGCACGCTACAAGTGGGCATTACAGGCACGCTACAAGTGGGCATTACGGGCACGTTACAGGTGGGCATTACGGGCACGCTACAAGTGGGCATTACGGGCACGCTACAAGTGGGTATTACGGGCACGCTACATGTGGGCATTGTGGCTTCAATGGGCGTCATCAAGTCCCTCACCTCGAGGGGTGTAGGCGCAGAAGGCGTGCGAGAACTCGGGGTGCTCGTCGCCGGGGTGAAGGGGAAGCTCCTTGTAGGATGATGTGAATGTCGTTGCGTTATCGCCGTCATATAGCCGAACCTGCGGAGGAGGAGGAGGCGGGGGATCAGGGAAGGAATGGTTGGGAGATGACGTTAAGACTCTGATTGAGAACCGCGAGGCCTCGAAAAGGCTTGGCTCTTCCCTATGAGTTCCTTCACAAATTAGGCTGAACTCTACTGCACTCTTAAATGAGATGGCGATATGGATTTTTCCATGTTTACCCAGTTATTTACTTATAAACGGTGGCCAGGAAAAAAAATATGTAAAATTTGTTTTAAAAGAGTTATAATGAAAGGAATTTTAACGAAACTTTGAATATTATTGTTCACCAAGTCTGCGACTTTTTCACTTTTTTCGAGATGTAAACGGGTTGTAATTTTAATTCTCCATTGAATGGTATATTCGTCATTCCATGATCAGCCTCCTTGCTGTAGAGATTATCTACCAAAAAATAGTTATGATCGAGCCTGCTGATACGTGGAGGGGAAATAACGTATACTAACTGCTCAAATGCAGACGTTGTGGAATACATGAGGGGAAAGAGACGTCGTAAATTACTGAACTGTCAGTTCACGACGGGCGACGTGGTGAAGGCGAACTCAATGAGAAGCGAGGAATAATACGTGGCCAGTGGTCGGCCTAGTCCAATTAGTTATAGCCGACCGCTGGCCAGTCCTCGGCCACCTGAAAGCGACCAGTTGCCGCAAGAAATTGGCTGGCTATAGGATATCATATTACAAAGAGTACAAGCTCGAGGGTAGCGACTAGCTGAGCTTCGGGCAAATCAAGAACATACGATGGTCGCGGAAACCTCGCTCTCAGACTTTGCTGTATTCTGACTACAAGCCTTAACTTCGTCATATAGCCGCACCGGCGAGATAGGGGTGTGCTCAGGGATTAAGGTAGAGGGTGGCCGCAGCGGCAGATATTAGAAGCATTCAGTGGGGTGAGGCTTGCAGGAGTGAAGGAGTGCAAGCATCGGAGGATTGGAAGAGTGGGACTTGAAGGAGGGGGCAGTGAAAAAGTGAAAGCACTGGAAAATGGTGATTATGACTTAAAGGGTCAATAAGTGCAGGGATTGAAGGGTTTATGATGATAGACCTCGACACTAAGTAGTTTAGGGTTAAAGAAGTACTCACCAGGTTAGGGTTGAGGGGGTCGGGGTGGGACAAGAGATATTCTCTAGCAGGAACGCTGACGTCATCGAAGCCGAAGTCCAGAAATTTTCGCTGCAGCCACCGCACCAACTCCTCGTCCCGACCTCCCCCCGCCACGTGGGGGGCCTTCGTCAGTTCCCTGGGAAGCAAAGGGATCAGGATTGTGAGCCTACTGGAGTAAAGGGTGCTCACCGTAAGTTTTCGCCGATATTCATAAAGCTCACCGTACGTTTTGTCCGATATTCTCAGTGCTGATGAGCCTGAGAAGTTCTCGGGATCCGCGGCCGCTGCCCTGACGCTCGTCCAGGTCGAACTGGTCCGCCGTGAAGGCCAAGCTTTCGGCTCCCTGGGAGAGGGCCACCATGATTAACCTTATCGTGTTAATTCTGATTACTTTGTTGTAGACCAACAGGTTCGCAGGAACTGTTGGCATAAGGAAATAAGTCTTTTCTGGTCAAGATATACTTGAAATCTTACACCACAACACAGATATAAAAATGAGCAAGGTTACAAAGTCCGTAGAGACTATCTGGAACAAGACATGAACACGCAGAATAGAGGCATCCTTACTCTCCGCTTTCTAAAATCCGAATGATACAAAATCCGTTCCTACGAAACTCGTCAACAAAGCTACGATTCTCTCGAAAATAATCTTACAACTTTTTGCATCCTAATTAAAATGCATACTTTTCCTATACACTGTACATCAAGATAATACACGTTGATTACCTCTTAATAAGTAACCTAGCCCTCTACAACTTAGAGTGAATTCATTTATGTTAATTGCATAAAATATGCAAACGTTCTTAATACATTTTATTATTTAATGGACTGGGCCTCACTGACCGCGGCGTCGTTGCCAGACGTGGCGACGTGGCCCACCAGGACCCCGATGATGAGCCCCACCGCCGCTCCCCCCACCAGGAGGATGACGTGCGACCGCTCCAGCATCTTCATCGTGCCGGGCCCGGGCCTCGAATTTGTCTTGAGGGACTTGGCCCGCCGTCAATTTTTTTCTGGCTTATTGTCTTGGGGTCGTGCTATGAAAAATCGTTTAGTTCACACAGCGGCCCAAGAACACGCAGCGGCCTAAGTACACGTAGCGGCCTAACTGCACATCTAATTAGCCTACTTATTAATCTGTAGCAAAATAAATGCTATATGATGATATACTGTTTCAAAATAATGATTTCATGGTCTAAGTGGCATCCAGTCCAAGTTTGTCCTGAAGCAGACCGGCTACTTCTGTCGACGTAATGAACAGAACTCCCTTTAACAGATCTCTGTCACGTCATTCATCTTAAAATCAGTCACTACTCTACTTACAATTCCGCGACAGACAATATGGCGATGAGCTGAGTTGAAGTGCAGTCTTGTGGACTGAAGTAAGGTAGAGAGCAGTCTTGTGGTGTGAGTTGAGGTGGAGTTCAGTCTTGTGGTGTGTGTTGAGGTGGAGTGCAGTCTTGAGGTGTGTGTTGAGGTAGAGTGCAGTCTNAATAATTAAAAAAAATTATTTAGCAGCAAAAAAATTTTTATCTGGACTAAAACAGTTATTCACAAATAACCTCATAACGCAAACACTTAGCAAAACGTAAATCCGTACACTTCATCCCAGTGAAACTGTCGACCGGCGGTAGAGAACACGGCCCAATATCTGCCATACTTAGCGAGAAACCTGCTATGGGCCCATGACCCGCAGTGGGCTCGCTGCCCCATGTTACCCTACAAATATATTGTTGACAAATTAATATGGGTCCCCTAAAGGGAAGGACGGGAAGAAATGTTTCTCGAAAGGGTACGAAGCATGGACGAAATGGCTATCGTAACGGATGTCTTAACCGCAATCACTCAAACAACATACGTTATCACTCCATCACTGTTGTTTTAAATATCAAGAGCTTTGCGCCACCATATTCTGAAGCGAATAGCCCAGAGTGTAATGATCGACCGCCACTGAGCGTTACATAGAATCATCACTTCATACCCTGACTTTAGCTCGAACTGTAACTAGCGGATAAAGAACTGCAGACAATCAGCCTAGCTTGCCAGTGGAACTGCACGAATCCTTATATTCCGTGCACCACCACAGTGACCAGACGGTCACTTCGCTCACGGCATCTGGGGTTTATATATAGTTCAGTTCAAAAATCTACCATCCTTCGACGAGTGGCCGTTCGACCAGCAGGCTGATTCGATGCAAAGGATGAATACGGACAGGTTGGTGGCAATCCACAAATTTACTGTAAGGCTCTGGCGCGCGGTGTCCGAGTGGCGCAGAATTCTTTCGCACACCGGCAGGCGATTCTGGGCCAAACTATTGAAGCCTGTTTACCTGTGGGCTGATTGGTCTACTTCAATGGTTGTGTGATCTGTCTGGTTGCTTGTGGCGGATAATGTTACAGACAAGAAGGCTACGTTATAGGCTACGTTCTTGAGGGAACGAATCGTGCAAGTCCGTTAGAAACACGGCAGTGGTGGTCTCCGACAGGTATCTCCACATAACCTCACGTCTCCGTGCTCGGCGCTGCACTGGAACAACCGCCAAACCGGTTAGTTCCACAATTCTTGTTTTTCAGTTAGTTCAGTTACTGACTTGCACAGTCAGTAACTTGAATGCCACTGTCGTACTCGTTTACATTTGCCGGATAGCTTCAAGGTTTCGTACCTAATTTTTGCGATTATTGCCTAGTATATAAAGTATGAAGCCATGAAAAGTCAACCGTCGAATGCGTCTTCCCCGGGCACAGTTTAACTCTCGTTTCTAAGAAGTCGTCTTGGGAGCTAGTTTTTAGTTCGGTGTTTTTTTTGAGGGGGGGGGGAACTGAAGACGGAAACATTTGTTGCGCGCATTATAAAATTCCCATAATAGCGGTAGTTCAGCATCAGAATCAGTTTCCATCAAATTTTGTGTGCGTTCTGAAATTAATCCATTTTAATTTTGTGACTCACTTTAAGGGTAATTTTGATTTGAGGAACGAAATTCGTTAATTTCTTCTTTATTTATAGCCAAATTATATTAAGACTGAAGAAAACTCAACTTGGATTCAAAATCCTTCATAAATCCTTTCGTCATTTACATCAGGACTGACATTTCGCCATTTACATCAGAACTGATTGGGGGGTGGGGGCAGCGGTAGGCCCCAAATTTTGCTCTTAAATCTGCAGTGGACACAACGCCCAGCTTCAGAGCTAGAAGCCGCAGACTTTGCTTGAACTCCGTAACCCAGACCAGCGACGCACTGCCGAAAGATGATAGCGCCGTAGGTCTTCAGCCAATTCAGCATGGCTTAAGCAAGCTCGCTCATAAGCAGGCAGTTCCTCATCCGGCTGTACACCTGTACCTACTCCTGCCCAAGCTCCTCTTGCCTAACCTAAGCTCCTCTGGCCGGAAGAGGTTTGGCCAGAAGCAGTATGGCCATGCTTACCACGCTTAAAGGTGTGGGCATCCGGCGCTTTAGCTTTGAGCACTTGACTTCATAGGTTGTTATGCCCTCTACCGTTCTTACCTACCTTCAATCAAATTCACTATGGAATTAGAATCCAACAATTGCTTGTCGTTTCTCGATTGCAAAATCACAAAATCCGGCGGTCGTTTTCTGACTTCCGTATATCGAAAACCGACATTTACCGGCTTGGGTTTAAGCTTCTTTAGCTTCTGCTCGTTTCGTTTCAAATTGAATAGTCT